TTTGATGAATAAAAATTTTTCGGAAATTTGTTTCGTGATCAAAACTCATCATAATCTAGAAAGAGATTGGTTATATAATAAATCATTTTCGACTTCATATAGAGCTTAGAAGATAATTCGAAAGTCGAAGACCACTCAAAAGAAAAATGGAATTAAGATGAACAGAGTTGTTTTTCTTGTGAGCTTAGAATAAATGAGTCACTTTCGCATCAGATTTTTCTGGATATAAACAATGGTGTAAAATAGTTCACATTTTTGTTTTGGGTGTTCTATCTCGAATTTTGACATTACTTTTTAATGAGCACATATGTGTTTTCTAATGTTTTATAGGAAATTTCAAGTTTCTAGTTTTTTTCTGTTATTCTAAAAAACTTTATTTTCATATCAAAAGATGCAGAATGAAATTTTTCACTAGAACTATTTTGAAGTTTTGCATAAAAACAAAAAATAGGTGAGACAGTTCAGAACTCTGACACTTTGGATATTTTTGTGATAGTGCACGCATGAGATTTTTCTATCAAATGGATCTATTTCGAATATTTTACATAATTATTAATATTCAGAAAAATCTAGATCATCAATTAGAAATGCTTTTGCTACTGTTCTCAGTTCAGAGTTTCTAAATTTATCAAATTGAATAACCAAGAATGAATGAAAGAGTACTTTGAGTTTTTCGAAATGATGTACATGTATTTTTTCTATTTGTATCCTAATAATATTGTATTTTACAGTAAACAAATAATCATAGATACTCGAGGAGAAACTTTTAGCTTAAAGAACGTACTTGATCAGGAATATTGTAGAAAAATCCCTTGTGATCCTTTTCATTGACAGTCACACTCGTCACCGGTTTGCTAACACCGAGAACACGAACAAGTTCTAAACGCATCGGTGAATCTTTGTAATTTGCTACGATTGCATTGATAGTCAATTTATTCTAATCAATTGTAAATGTCGAATATATACAATTTCTCGTTCAATCATTCTACTTACTGAAATAAGTAAAAATTCGAAGTAATTGTAGGATTTTGTTTCGATCGAATCTTTATAAAAAGAAAAGAATGAATATAATTGATTTTGTTACTAAAAATTTATTCACCAATAGAGTCACCATCGTCCCAAAACAGATTTCCAGTTGCATTTCCTAATGCTGATTGAGCGACAAGTAAAGTAAATGGATTTCCACGGCCGATCATCAAATTAGTTCCGGGTATTTGCATAGGAATAATAAAACCACCTCGGACATGAATATTAATCTTTTCTAAAGGAGTATCAAGATCAACAAATACACCGACAACTTTCACTTTGACACCCGATGGAAACTCATACCAAACGTCTTCTGGAATATAAGCATGCACCATAGTTGTATTCTAGAAAGCATTCGAGAATATAAAACAAAAAAAAGGATAGAGTATAATCTCTGCATTTACATTTATTGAAACAAGATTTGGTGAGACGAGAATGGCACGACCAATGAGAAATTGTCGATCAATACCTAGTGTTTTGTTATCATTGGAAAATCTAATAGAATCACATAGTTAGAAAAAAGAACCACGAAAATTTATTAATATCGCACTCGAAATGAAGTGGTTGCACTAGAGTTTCTGATGCTATCGCTGCTCGATAATGAAGAGTATACCAGAATGGAGCCAGCGAATATCGCATTATCAATGCTTGTTTCATGATCTGTTGAGATGTCCAAGAGAATACAGCTGGATCTTGATCCTAATTGTTTCATATAGAAATCATTGAATAATATTATTCTGATCGAACATATACCTTCTGAGCACCATTATGATTTCTCATGAAAGGATAGAATGCACCCAATTGCATCCATCGTGTGCACAATTCTTCATTTGTATCATCTCGAAAGCCACAAATATCAGCACCGACATTGGGCATTCCAAACATATTAAAACTGAGAATATCTGGAACGTTGAGAAAGAATAAACATCTAGAATCTACTGACGATACTGTCATCGAAGGTTCTTCTGAACTCAATATTCTCGAACGTTTTGTTTTCATAGATGTAGAGAAAGTAACAGCAAAATATACTCCGTAATTTTTTCCCATTTCTCCATTCTACTTACGACGATCGATCGATCTGACACTTTTTTGTAACAACAAGAAGCAAATTGGAATGCATGTTAAAGAATTCAAAATATTAAAAAAAAAAGAGACGAAGGTATGCACGTGTCAAACGTAAGGCGATTAAACTATTGACGTATCTTTTAATCAGAACAAATCATTCGTCTAGTTAGTATGTTCGTATACATTAATGCTCTAATAACTTTGCACTGCGATAAGCTTATAGTCTTTGCCATAGCATGAATAGAAAATCTATTGGAATCATACGCACCCGAAATTGAAAAGTACATATCTTCATACGTCGCGCCATTATCACCCGTCCAATGAGCGGTATATTGACCCGAGCCGGCAAAAGACGAACGAGACAAAACAAAAGGTCGTTTGTGACGAATTGTTTTTAGTGCACTAGCAAAATATTCTAAGTCATTGTTTTTTTGTCAAAAGTGCATAGTCAAATATTTACAGATTCGTTGCTTTTGCTTCGAAATAGCCGTACATATTATGTAAATTATAATGAGAAGAAAGTGCATGTTGTGCAGATGGACACAATGTTTTTGCACTGAGTGAATCGCCAAGTACATCTTTGAAAGTTTTTTTTTTGTAATCTTAAATTTGATTTGTTTCAAAATAACTTACGTGGAACAAATGGAGGTCTGTCTAATGAATTATTTGTACAACCATCATGAGAACCATCAATCAAATTTGATGGTTCATTCATATCCTATAAAGATGTCTAAACATATATAGGTTTGATTTCACGATATATTTACACGTACAATCCAAATGCCATCGAACGGAATTGTATCATGAAATGTAGTAGCAATGTTCGTCCACCATTCAACAGTACTCGCATTTGTAAAATCTGGAAAGACTGTTAATCCTAGATGTGAAATGATGGTAAAGATGAATCAAGAATTTTTAACGATTATTCTTACCTGGCCAAACCTAAAATATAAAATACTTACATTAAAACTTTGTTGAATTGACATGAATAAAAGATTACCTGTCCGATAATTGGTTCAGTTGAATTGAATTTGGTGATGAAAATTCCTCTTTTCAAACCATCATCATATGGTGGATAGGTTCCAGATGATTGTGTTGAACTGATACCACAATCGATGATATTGACATAATGTTTACCTTCAGATTGTAAAGAATGAACAAGATCTGGTAGACCATTGAAATTTGTTTGATCATAAGTAAAATCAAGATTAGAGGACATTGCATCAATATCTGTCCATTGAACATCATATGGAAATTCAGCATCATGCATTCGCTAAAGACATCAATTAATGAAATAAATAACTATTTGTTTTTGATTTTCAAGAATAATACTTGAATGACGGCTCGTAAATTGTTGATATTATTGTACCCATAACGACACAGATGAAAACCAAGAGACCAGTAGGGTGGCATTGTAGGTTTCTAGAATTCAACAAAATAAACGAAATCAATCATTTTGATCATCTTTCTTTTTACTCCGATCACATCCCAATATTGTTGAATAACATCTTGTGCTGTAGGTCCAGTAAATAAATACAAATCAATAATACCTCCAATTGTTGTATAACTAATAGCAGGTAATGGTTGAAGATCAATATCCATTGCATTCGAATTGAGAAAAAATTGTCCATGAAAATTAGTCAACATATTGGTTTTCATTTCTACATTGATGTAAAATGGATGAACACCTTGATAACAAACATCCATTCAATATGCATTGCCACATACTTATAAAGTGAAAAATGACTTGAAGGAGTACTTACCATACAGATTGACATGCTGAGCTGGAGGAGTATCACGAGTCCAAAATGTTAGCTTGTTCCATTGATTTGTGACATCGATCAACAACGATTGCTGATGTTCACCAAGACCATAGAGAAATGGGCTGGAAAGATAGCTTGAAAATTTGATGAATTGATCAGCATAGATAAGTGGTGCTACACTAGTATCAAATCTAAGACAGAATACATATGGTTAACCTTTCCGAACCCCAAAAAAATTAAAAAAATCTTCTACTGATCAGTGTTCGAGCGAAGAGAAAAGTGAAGTATGAGAAAAATACACTCACATTGTCATACCAGTTGATTTTCGTTTGACAAGAATAGCAAATGGTTCTTGACTAAGTGAAACTTCGTAATCGGTGATATTAACTTTTTTTTCAATGACAGGCACTTCAAGTGGTACTTCGTAACGTTTCTTCGTTGAATCATATATTCGTAAACGAAATCGTTGTGCTGTTTCGTAGATAAGATCAACTGTTAAATTTAAAATTTCATTCGGCATATAGGTCGATTGTTGTTTAACAATTGTTAGTCGTTGACCAAAAGCAGTTGATTCATTAGTCTTTATTTGATAGGTTGGAAAATCACGTGGATAATAACACCAAGGTACGTCTATTTCAAGAGAATTCTTCGAGCGATTTTTGGGAAACTGATTCGTCGGTTTCCAACAACAATTACGAGCCAGACATTTTTCTTGTGATACAAAAGGCTCAGGATAACAATCGAATCGTGCCGCTGTCACAGGTTGATCACACTGTTGTGCAGATGTGGACCATATGAAGAGTAGTATTACAATCCATTTCATGGCGGAGAAATGTGCCATTCGATAAGCACTTCTATCTAAAAACGAACAAAACATCACCGAGAATTTCATTATCAAAACAATGATCTACACAGGATAATAACGAAATTATTCGATTGACAATGCACAGTCACAAGCAATAGGCATATGAAAATCGATTATCATCCATTCAATGTAAAATCTATTTTCAAGCATGCGACTATATTTAATTTATATTTTTAACAAATTAATAATAATCTAGTCTACCTACTTTCTTATAATAAAGGTATATACATATATTGTAAAATTTACGAAATGACGACAAAACATTCTTTGGATATACCGAACAAATCCAATATATATTGTACCAAATATTTGCAGCTTCACATTTTCAGACTTACGAATTAGTTCTTTCCATATAAGTAATATATATATATTGCAATCGACTGTTTAGAATGATATAAAATCAGTATTTTATGTCTTTCATTCTTGTTTAACAAACATGTGAAATATGTGTGCTTTCAAGTCATAAAAACAATGATGATTCAAAATGATAAAGATTGATAATAACATGTTAAGATGCATGTGGTGTGATATTTTCCTTTCGAGATAAAAGTGTGCAGCATTTAAAGAGAAAGAATAGAAGTCCTACAAGATAAAGTTAGTTTTACATATTTTATAAATTATTCTATGAACTATTCGAAAAAAGTGTTAGGAAAGTATATTATTGAAAAGTTTTTTGGAACTTAAGAAAATTTGATCGACTTGGTTCATATTAATGATTGTTTACAAAGATAAATTAGGCAAAATTCAAGTAACAACATATTCTACGATAAAAAAGAATAAGATGTATACCACTAGCCAGGCTCATTATAATAGCACTTAAGTTTTAATACTAATCTATACAACACAAGAACATTCTCAGATAATTCAAAAATCGAATGTCTTTGTATTCTTGTTTAAGAGAACATTGATATGTATATATTCTGTTTCATGTTATAATAAAATTTATTTTAATAAGTATTTTTCCAGTATGATAATTCATCATAAGAAGAATTATATTGATTGACAATAAAAATCCTTCAGAAACTTCTAATTAATTGAATCAAATAAAAATAATTAATTAACATCTTTATATAATAAAATAGGATAGAGAAAAAAAATGAAAACATAACTTTTAATTGAAAACAAAACAATGAAATTCACTCAGCATTGTTTTCCAATATGTGTGGATGTGACGTTGATTTTTATTTTAATCCTAACACCGACATCAATACCCTCTTATTAAGGTGTTAGAGTTACTTTTGTTGGTGTAGTGTTGAAGCGAGTTAAAGTATGATGGGTCAGTATGGTGGTCGTTTTGGCACTAGACAAGACCCTGGAACCAACATTCTACACGCCAGTGACATTCTCTATTTCTTTACACAAAATGAATCTGCATATAAGAGCAACTTTATTTTTGCACGTGAAAAATGAATTGAAATTTTCTTCTTATCTTTAATATCCAAAAGATATTCATGTTCATCATAAGTCAAGGAAAGTTTTCATTGTATATCTAAACATATTTTCACAAAAGAGTCTTTGTAAATAAAAAGATATAACAAAAAAAAAATGAAAAAACAATATCACAATCGAAACCAAAGAAAAGAAGACTACAAAAGCTAATGTGAACTAACAATTGAACAGTAAAGATAATTATTAATAACAAAACATGTTAAATGTTTTTAATCTACATGAACCCAATCTTTATTGTCAGGTTCTTCTTCATTTTCTTGAACACGTAATTTTTTCATTGAACGTGTAACACGATCATGTGCAAGTTTTGTTTGTGCTGGACCCAAATCAAAATTATCGAAATCTGATCGAAGCCAATCTAGCATTTCTGTTTTAAATACAGGTGGTGGTGGCGATTGTGGTGGTGCTGATGTTATTGATTGACTTTCAATTGAATTTGTCGTTATATTAGTTGTTTCTGATGATACTGGTAATCTATCCTCTTGATCATGATCAAAATCATCATAATGTTGTGCATGAATTTTATAATGATTTTTCATACGATATGCTGATGGAATATATTGATTACATATTCTACATGTACGTTTTTTTAATTCTTTTTTAACTGATGAACAACAATAATCAAATGGTAACATTTCATTCTAAAAAGAAAAATCTTTTATTTTTCTCAAGTAAATAGTAAGTATGAGTCATCATATGACGTGATAAATGAGTGTTTTTTATTATTAGCTATTTATTAAAGAAATTGATCAGTGTGATACTTAAGATAATTTTCTAGTACTGTCTATAAATTTGAAGCATTTCGTTATGATCTTGTAACTGAGTTAGCTAGTTATCATCTCTTTCTTGTCTTGGACGATCTAGTCGATTTGACCGTAGTCTATGATAACCCTTAATCAATAATGATAGGAACAAAAAAAAAACTTTGTTTCAACCTGTGTATGTTGAATAACAACACCATGATATTGAATTCGTTGAAATAATGATCCATAAAATTGTCCTCTTTGATAATCTCTTTCGGCCATTCTAACACCATATGGTGTACGTTCAAATGGTACAGGTGATGGTAAAAATCGATGAGGAAATATTTCAACATAATTTGAACGCCATGGTCCACAACATTCAACTGAATTACAACGAATTATTTGTAATGTATATTGTGTTTGTAAAACATGTATAGCACACCAATATTCATCAATATCATATTTTTGTTGTTCACCAGTTTTTTCTCTTGGTGCACGAGCATTTTCTTGATAATATTCTTCCGATTGTTGAATACGAAATTCATATCCTTCTTCTGCTTCTTCTTCAGCACAAATTCTATTTAATAGAATATAATGGAAAAAAAATAAAATGAACTAAATAGAAAGACAATAAAAATTTACTGTCGTAAAAGTTCATCCATAACAATTTTAACATCAATTTGTCGACGTTCATCATCTGTTGTAGCTGGTGGATTAATATATTCAGCAACACATGGATATCCATCAATAACTGATTGATTCCATGTATCAGCTAAGATTTGTCCAGCTTTACGAAAATTTAATTTTTCTAATTCAAGATTTGTTGTTACACCTGAGTCATTTAAATGTGAACCAAAATAATCATGTGGTAATATCAGACCAGCTAAATCATGAGATAATGGTGCCATACGACGTTCAACTATATTATAAGCTGATTGGCCTGGCCTTAAAAAAAAACAAAAGTATTCAATTGTTTTTTTTTAATATTAAACTTACGCATGTGTAAGAATAAAAAGTGCATCTAAATTATATTTTTTAAATTTTCTAATATTTGAAACAAGTGTTTTTGGAAAACGTGGATTTTCATCAGGACCACCATCAACAGTAACAATAAGAATTGGTTTAACTTGTCCAGTTTCATCACGTGCTACTTCTTCAAATTCTTTTAAACAAACAAGACGATCAAAATCTAATGCATGAGATTCAGCACTTGAAAATTCATGTTTAGCTGAACGTATTGCAACATATGTTGGACCTGAATAACCTAAATCACCTTCTTCGGATAGAAAACATGCTGCATATACACTTGGTGTTAATTGATGTCGAGGTGCAACTGTCCAATCATGATCAGGTAAACGTACACGATAATCCAAATGCATTAACATTGGTGCTTGAACTTTAGCTGCAGGTAAACCTAATGGAACTTTACATTTATCATCTTGTGATAAATAAAAAACACAATCATTGCCAAATATAGAAGCTAAATCTTTCATATAACGTATTGTTGCCGTAGCAAAATGACCATCTTCATGTTTTCCATGTTCATCATTTTGAGCACGACGAAGACGAACTGGAACAGTATTAACATGACGACGACCATCTACTGATTTTGCACGATGAGGTAAAAGACTAAAAATATTCATCATTAGATTATTAAAACAAATTTTTGCTCATAATCAAAATTTGATTATGAATATTTTAAACATTAGCAATATATATATATACAATCAGAATAAGGCATATCTAATAATTTTTTATCTATATATTCGTACCAGACATGTGTATTTCGCCTAGTCGTTACTGAAAAATAAAACTCTTTCCAAAAAAGCTGCAAATAGATGTCAGAAAACTAGTTGAATACGAAAATATGGACGATGAAAAAAGATTATTGAGATTGAATATTTGTTTAAATGTGTTTAATAGACATTTTATTTTTTAGATTCAAATAAAAAACGTACTGAAACAAAAGTAACTACCTAATAATTCTGGTTATTTTTTTTTGGGTGTACTAATCAGACTTCTCTGTCTCATAGAATAATTTTTTTCCTATAATTTATTATTTTCGATTTGTATTTTAGTGTACTCTTACTTTATGCAACAGAGATACAGAAGTCGTCGTCGTTAATGTGGAGACAGTTCAATATTTGTTTAAAATAAAATTTTATTCTTTTTTTTTTCTTGTTTTTTTTAAAAAATAAATAAAACTTCATTCCCTAGTCGACTCTCTCTAGCGGGAAGTCCCTGTAGAAACCCTTATAATACTTATCAATTTCCTAGGGAGTCTCAACTAGGACTTTCATAATATATAGAAATGAAGAAATATTTCATATTCTTCTTTAGCTCTATTACTCTCTTCTTTTACACAAATCACTTCCGTACACAAAAATGATATATGAATACTAAATTGGTGAATTTCTTCGCTAGAGTAGATTGTTCATATTCAATCTTAATTTATTTTCTAATCAAATTTATATAAATGTAAAGCTGAACTTAAATTTAATTAGATTAAGTTTGTTATCAGAATCATTTTTTTGATCAATAAAAATAAGTATCAAGATCAGATAATGAAATCTCTTCTGTTAACTTTCATGAGTTCGAATTCAAGCGTTCTTAGAGTGAGATACTATCTAATTGTCATGTTTACAAATACGAGACGGAATTGATTTAGCGAAAAATTTCATAAGCGAATATATCAATAGATGGCGCTACCTCTAATGTTTTCTATTCTAGTCACGGGTAAGATAGTAACCTCTGTCGACGTTTCAACCGTACACAATAAAATTTGAGTGCATAAATTATTGGATAGAAAATTTAAAAAATTTTGATACGCTTAGCAAAAAAAGTAGAAGATTTTGTTAATTTACCGATAATAAAGTGTTGTACGTTTAATATCATAACCTCTTTGTTTAATTTTTTCTCTTAAATCATCTAATGTTAAACAAGGTCGAATAATTTCTGATTGTCTTCGATCATCACTTGCTCCACCAACTTTTGCAATTTCTTCAATTATTTGTAATAAATCAGGACATTGTTCTTCAACACGTGGTCGACCAGCACCACGACGATAAAGTTTTTTTAATTGTGGATGTAATTCAGGTTTTGTTTCAAATAAATGTTCAACCTAAAAAAAAAAGATTTTAAATGAAAATAACAAAAAAGAAAAAAGAATTGTTTATACAATTTGTTTTTTTTTAACTCGATATGTAGTTGAAGATTTTTGTTTTGATTGAAGACGTTTTAATTCAAAAAATTTCTTCTTTCTATCTTTTATTAATTGTTTTAATTGTCTTCTATTTTCTGGTGTTGATAAACCCATTTGTCTAACTTGTACTAATGTAGCAATACGTTCATTAATAGAACTTAATGTTTGAAAAATACGTTCTTGTGCTGGTGTTTTTTTTTGTTTTACTAATGGTTCAAGTGGACCACCAGTTGCACTTGGTAATTTTATTGGATATTCAAATAGTAAATCTTCTTCGACTGTTCTACGTTTTCTAATAAAATAAGCTTTTTTCTTATTTTTCTTTTTCTTTTCTTCATCATCTTCATCATCGTCATCATCATCTTCTAAATCATATTCATCCATATCCTCAAAACCCTTTGATTGTTTATCATCTATGATATTTTCATTATTATTATCTTCATTTATTGTATCATTAGATTGATCAATTTTAGGTTTTTTTTTGGGTTGACAACGATTAGTTTTTGATTGAGTTGAAAAAGAAGGTGATAATGGACGTTCAAAACCTTCTTTTGAAGGTGCTTCAAACTCATTATATTTTTCTAAATATTCTTCAATTTTTTCTTTAACATATTCTTCATTCCATTTTATTTCATTCCATTCAACTTGTGCATCATAATGTTTGTCCTATTTTAAAACACAAAAAAAAAAAAAAAACATTTTCATTTTGTTTTAATTAATTAAGAAACTTACAGCTCGTTTTTCATTAGGTCGAGCTTTCATATAAGCATCGACAAATGTTTTATAAAGGCTTGGGCCTTGAATCTTTTTATTTGATTTTGAGGGCATAACGAACAATATCAATCTACTCAGAGAACGCAAATACTGACGCTTACACACAAAATATAAATATACATATATATATATATATATGTACAGGAGAGAGAAAAAAAAAATACTACTATAAGTAGTAAAATAAATTTAACGATGACCTTTTTCTCCATGCTCGCTTAGAGACGGTCACAAATAAAAGTAGTAACCAATGGTCATTCTTTTTTTTTGAAGCTTTCGATGATAACGATATCCTCATGTGATTCGAACCGGAAAAAAACTGACGATGTACCGCCGGCTGACCGTTCGGTATTATGTGCGCTCTACCGGCGGTAATTTCGTCTTTTATCCGTAGGATCAGGGTACGAACCTATTGAATCTAAGAATGAATCTATATCACCGAAGGCAGACAATTGATTTTTTAAAAATTTTATTATTAAAAAATTCTATTTCGATATCATAGTTTCATCTTAAGTGAAATATAACTCTTACTAAATTGTTTTTCTCAGAAAAAACTATATTTCACTCATCATCAAATTATAATACCAAAATTAAAATAGGAAAAAAGATTTTTTTAATAATAAAGTAAAAAAAAAATTAATTTTTATTATACAATAAGATAGATTCATTCTTAGCTCCACAAGACAACGGATCGTAGATTTTATAATAAATAGTGTGTTTTTGCTTCATTTTTTCGACTAGATAATGTCCAGAAGAATAAAAATAAAATAATTTCTGATAAACAAATATTTAATTTGTCGGTTTTAAGATTATTCTAAATAAAAGAATAAAACGATATAATAATATTTTCCATGAATAGATACTTTTTATTTTGACATTGAAATCTTCGTCTCAATAAAACAATGATATAATAATAATAATTTATATAAAAAACACTTACTGTTTAGTGCAATGTTCACAATCACCTAAATTACAAAGAACGTTATGAAAGAAAAAATATATATATACATGGGGTTGGCCAGTCTGCCCGGATGTCCCGGTATTTTTACTCGTTATAATACTCGTATAATGCTGATGACCTGCCAAGGATGAAGAATTTATCTCTTGTTTGAAACCTATTAAAGAAAAAAGATGGTTGACCTTTTCCTTTATTTTTTACTAAATCAAAAATGTCCTTGCACACGCATCGAGCGTTTTAATGAAAAGAAAGAAATGATGATATATGATCGAAGATATCACATCCATGGAAAAAGAAAGAAGAAAGAAAAAGAAAAACATACTATGAGAGCAATGTCCATAACAAAACCAAAATAATTGAATGTCTCTAAAAAATCTTTTGATACTTATGAACAGGTTTTGCGAAGATACCCAATCATTTTGGTTTCAAACAAGAGATAAACCCCTTATCCTTGGCAGATCATTAGCATTATATGAATACTATAACTAGTAAAAAAATCAGATTTTTCTAAAATATCATAGAAACTGAATGATAAAACATAATTTGATAATGTAATGGTTTTACCACTGATATACCGCGGTAATCAAGAAAACCGTCGGTATATCACGTTATTCGAGACAATCGACTGTATACTGGCGTTAGTTCAAATAAATGTACGACATGGGTCATGTCTATTCGATTGAAAAGAACGCAAAATAGGAACAAAACAATATTAGACTAATTGTTATAACACATTATGTAACATGATACGAAACAGCGTAAAATAAATAAAATGACATTCGAAAAAGATTGAGTTTTTCTTTTTGTCTTAGTGAAGGAATTAGTAGAAATTTTGTCTGAAATTTCTATCTTATACTGTATCATACATTTTAAGAAAACTCTTATAATCAAACATATTTTATGAGAAAATCATTCAAGATGATTCCGAACTTTTATTTTCGATATTATCGGACATATATTTTCTGCTTCTCTCAAAGCTTAAAGTATGTCACAAAGATGGGTTAATCAATATTTGAAAATCCTAATATTTAAACATTCAAGTTAACTTCACGTATGATCGAAGAAGTTCAGCGATAGTATCAATACATGTGAAACTAATCAAATATAGAACATTTCGCAATATTCATTGGTTTTGACAAAGCTAAGAATTAAAAGTTAATACCGAAAACAAAATGCTATTATAGCTCAGTGTGAAAAAGGTCTTATATTTATTGTATGGCTTCGAACACATCTGGTGGACCAAGAACTACATCCACAAATCGTCTGAGAATTCGGTGTGGGTGTGGGTACACAAAACAAATACACCCACCCGCAGCCACAACCACACTGGCACGCATACCCACGTTGCACCTATCACCAACACCGACACCCACACTCATTTTCTTTATGAGATCCATTCATCGATCAAACATATTATGTCAAACTTGAAAGTTGAATTCAAGTATTCAACCTCTCTGCGTGTGGGGACATGCTAGCATGTTGGCGCGAATAACGCTCGAACTGAAAAGTTGAAAAGTTGAATTCAACTTTCAAGTTTGATATTACTGTCTTGTTGATGATCTAACAGCTAAACTTGTTGCTTGGACAACAACTCCATGGACATTACCATTGAATCTTGCACTTTATGTGAAAATTCTTGGTATGTTCATGAGAGAACATTTAAAATGAGAGAATTTCTGTGTATTTGATTATTTAGATAAAACGAAGAATGAAGTTTTTATTTTAATGGAAAAACGATTATTTGAATGTTATAAAAAATCTTATAGTTATAGAATATTAGAAAGATAAGTTAAATAAACATTCATCTTGTTTTCGTTTAAATAGAAAAGTTGATTTTTATAGTTTAAAAGAAAGTCATTTAAAAGAAATGCATTATACACCATTATTTCCTTATTTCGCTGATGTAAGATTTTTTTTTTCAAATATTTTTTTATTATATTTAATAATAAAGATAAAAACAGCTTTTCATGTACTATGTGATGAATATTTCACAGAAGATAATGGTACAGGTGTTGTTCATCAAGCTCCATATTTTGGAGAAGATGATTATCGTGTTTGTTTTGTAAATGATGTTATCAATAAAGATACAGGATCTGTTGTTTGTCCAATTGATGCTCAATGTCGATTTACGGATGAAGCTAAAGACTTTCAAGGACAAAATGTAAAAGATGCTGATAAGACTATTATAAAATACCTAAAAGAAGCTGAGAGACTTGTTCATCAATCAGTAATGTTACATTCATATCCATTTTGTTGGAGAAGTGATACAACATTAATTTATCGTGCTGTTCCATCTTGATTTATTCGTGTTGAAGAAATGATTAGTTATCATTCAAAAAAACGTTTATTTATGTATTAGAGTATCTAATTTTGTTAAAGAAAAACATTTTGATAATTGGCTTTGTGACATACGAAATTGTTTGTGTTAGTTCAGTTGAAGAGTTAAAATAATTATCTGGAGTTTCTGTTAATGATATTCATCGCGAAAGGTAAAGACGAAAGTTTTTTTTTCTATTTGTTGAAAAACGACTTGATTTTAGTGTTGATAGAATTACAACCCCATCACGATTAGGTAAAGGTTTGTTACGTCGCGAGTACCTGAAGTATTTGTTTGTTGGTTTGAATCCAGTTCAATGCCTTATGCACAAGTTCATTATCCATTTGATGGATGTCGAACGTTTATGGATACATTTCCAGCTGATTTTATTGCTGAAAGTATTGATCAAATACATGGATGGTTTTATACATTATTAGTTACTTCAACAGCTTTATTTGATCAACCACCATTTAAAAATTTAATTGTTAATGGCATTGTTTCAGTAAGTAATGGAGAAAGAATCGCAAAAAGAAAGAAAAAATATCCTGATCCGAAAGAAATTTTTGACAAGTATAGAGCTGATGCAGTCGAGTATTATTTATTTCGAGTAAAGTTTAAAAAAAAAAAAAAGTAATTTTTTTTCTATTTCTAGACTTTATTTAATCATATCATCTGTTGTACGTGGTGAATCACTTAAATTTAAAGAAGAAGGTATTCAAGATATTCTTAAAGATGTATTTTTACCTTGGTATAATGCATTAGAGTTACTTGTTCAATCATGTCATCAATTAAGTGTTGATAAAAAAGTTAATTTTATTTATGATGAAAAACGTTTATATTCATCCATGTCACCTAATACAAATATTATGGATACATGGATTGTTTCTTATACACAAACATTGTTAGATTTTGTTAAACAAGAAATGGACGGTAAGTAATTTATTTTATCTTTGATAACAAATCATTTTTTCAATGAACTTAAAGCTAATGAGTTCTTTTAAAATATTTCAGTGTAATGTAAATATCACATTGATGTACGATCATATGTACATATTTAGAGAATTTGGAAAAGTCTGGATTTCAAGACACGTAAAGAAATGTATAAGAAAAGATCATTCCAAGAATTTTTGAGTCACTCATTTTTACTTTCTAAAAGTTCAAGATAATCATTTCTAAGAAATTCTACTTTTATTTTAGCTTATCGTTTATATACAGTGGTGCCTCGTCTTAATAAATATATTGATATATTAATTAATTGGTATGTCAAATTGAACAAGAAACATTTTAAGGTAAAAAAAAATATTCTCAATTTATTGAAAAATTAAATATTGCTTTTTTATGAATGTTAGATTTAATTTTTAGGATGAAACAATATTTGAAGATTGTCTTATTTCATTAAATGTTCTTTGTGATGTACTTTTAACAATGGCTAAATTAATGGCACCATTTACACCATTTCTTGCTGAATATATATATATATATATCAAATTTTAAATAATTTAATGCTGCAATCTTCACCATCATCTTCTTCTGAAATTTTAATGTCAATAAAATATTTAAAAAGAATTTTTTTCTTAGAAAATCATTAATAAATGAAGATATTGAATGTACGGTTGCTGCCGTACAAATAGTTTGTTGGATTAAGTCGAGTGATACGAGAACGAAAAGTTGTTCCAATGAATATAGAAAATTAAATTATCTTTTTAGTATTCATTACCAGAATTTGTTGTTATTCATAAAGATGAATCTATTTTAAAAGGTATCGAATCATTAGAAAATTTTGTTCGAGAAGTATGTTTACATTTTCTAATATATTTATCTATCTATTTTTATTCTAAAGAGTTTAAATGTATGTAAAGTAACATTATCTCAAGATCATGAACTTTATGGTGTCGAACTGCATACTGAACCAAATTATCCAATATTAGGCAAAAAAGTTGGTGGTAAATGTTTTTGGATGTTTATTTAGATATTTATTTCATAATACATTTATGAATTGCTAAAGTTAAATCGATCGCTGAAAAAATTCGTCAAATGACTGATACAAATATTGAAAAATTATTGTCAAAAAGTGAAAGTAAATGTCCATTAATAATAATTGATGATGTACCAATTGAATCTGAAGATGTTCATATTTTTTATTGTGTGAAAAAATAAACACAATTTGAAGCTATTGCTAAACAAGAAGTATAACAACTTTATTCTTTGTCTTTTCTTTTTTTTTTATTGATAGTTTGTTGTTTTACTTGATCATACAGCGGATGCGGCATTAAAAGATGAAGGTCGTATTCAAAAACTTTGAAAAGAGGTCTTTTTATATCAATTATTAATTTTAATCATCCGATGTCATTTTTTTCAAGGGTAAATTAATTTCAACTAATTGAAGTTGTTTTGAAAAAACCATTTGCTCCGTCGACCAATTTAACGAATAAAGAAAACAACAATGTGATGATAACTAAAAAACTTCCTGTATGTTTTCTTTGATTCTTTATGAAAATGATATCATTTGTTTTGGTTTTGATTAGGTGATAGATGCCGAAATGGAATTTGTTATCATTCAAAATTCATAATCAATATCAAATAAAAAAAACAAAAGTTTGTCTTAGTAGTGTTTCTTTTTTTTTGATTTTTATGAACTATTGAAACATTTGTTAGTATTATTATTGTTTATTGACTGGCTTTATGATTGACATTGTGAATACTACATCATCAAAATTCTTTCAGTAAAGAAATAAGAATCTCTTGATCATTAACTGATCTAATTTTTCTACATCAGTCAATGAAAATTTTCAGAATTTGAAAAAAAGGATTACTGTTGACTGTACAGAGTAAAAGGGTGTGGGTGTTTCTGTTCACCTTCTCTTCGCTAACACCCATATCTACACCTACGTTCCCCGTTCCCAGGAACGAAACGCAAAAGTGACATCCCAATCTGGAAAAGAAACAAAAATAAAAATTGTGAATAATTATGGGCGTTTCTTGTTTATGAAAATGCTTTAGATAATTCCAATTGAGAATGTGTGTAGGTATGAGCGTGAAATCAAGATTATATTTGCACGTGTCCACATGCACACTCTCAATAATTCCATTATGCGATCAGATTTAGAGCAGCAGGTAAAACGAAAGTCTCCTTTTCACATGTATCCGTGACGTAATTACATCGATAGAACGAGTCTCCTTCACGAAAACCAGTTGGAAAGCCTGGACAGTAGAATTTCGATTGATTCTTGCGTCAATGCAAGCTTTTTTTCAGTCGACCAAATTTACATTTCGGACAACGCGGATAACCACCGTGCCGAACTAAATAGATGATACGAGAAATAAGTTCTGCTTTATTTCCAAATGGATTCTGATGGTTGGATCGAAGAATGTTCTTAAGCACTGGTACTGTTAATGCATTCAATTGAACACGAAGAGACAGTGGTTTTGGTGCTCCTTTCTTTGATTTCTTCGATGCAGGCATATGTGTTTCATAATCACTATCAGCATCATCATCATCATCCGATTCATACGGCAAGTCTTCTTTGTCTCGATCTCTTTTCGACGACATTACTGATATGTTGCAATGATTGTGCAATTCTATTTAAATACTCCATCCTGACGTTCTTATCATTCCCGAAAGGAAAGAAAAAGAACTCTGGTATTTCCTTGCGTAGGCACAGAATTTAATGATCTATTTATGGCTTTATCTTAAATGTGCAACCAAGAAGATGTTTTCTAATAAATCAAAGAGAACAATAACAAGCAAAAGCACTAAAAAGAATTGAAAAGGATGGGTGTGGGTGTGGCTGGGTATGGGTGGGTGTGTGGGTGTGAGTGCAAAGCACAAGAGTGGCAACACCCACCCCCAGTTTTTAACATCTGTAATATTCTACATTCTTATTTTCGACATTTTTCATTTCGACATTTTTATTTTTCGACATTTTTACTTTCGACCAAATTCAGGTTTACCAAAATTTTTTTACGATACAACGAAAGAAATGTTTCTAAGATAATGGCAGTATGTTTCGTCATGTTTGCATGGAGTGTTTCCAAAAAGATAAATGAATTGTTTTTATTTCTATTTGAAATTATCCGATGGTTATTATTTAATATTATCTCCACCTTCACTTCTTCTACAAACAACAGTTGCATTCCATTTCGTTTTATTTGAATGAAAAATTCACATAAGCTACATATTATACGATTCATAAGTCAGAATTGGTTGACTTACATAGAACTTGATGCAGAGAGCACAGCTTATGTTCACATTTTTTGATTATTCATCACTATTTAATAATTGGCATCTTTGCAATGCCGTCATTTTTGTTCTGTTAACTATCTTGTTTAAAATGACTTGATCAGCTCTGTTTAATTTTTCCAGTAATTGATGATATTGATCTTTATACATGGGATACATGTCTACAGCATCATTGTATAAATCACCAGCGAAATTTTTTCGTGTTTCTTCATCTCGAAGGCATAAAACAGTTTCAATAATTGCAGTTAAATGAACGATATTAAAGATAATTTGTTGATCATCTTCTTTTAAACGACTGAAAAGTTCTGTCAACATTTTGTGAATTTCATCGAAGTCTTCATCTTCAATTGGCCGTTCTGAAGCTATGATATCATCATAATTTCGACCATAATGTATTAGTGGAAGAGCAACAAAACAGTCGATTTGTGGAATACTGTTCAGGAATAGAAGTACAGCCAACGTTAATCTTATTATTAGACGCATAGTTTTTTTCACTTGTAATGAAAGAAAAAATTGAATGATAGCACTATATGTATATCGACAGATAATATTTTATGGCTACTATCGATGAATAATATTTGTAATCTTTCCTTTCATCTTGTATCTTCTTTCCCTAGGGAACAAAAATAATGAGAATCAACTTCTTCAGATTGTGTTTGAATAATAATTATGCCTCTTATTATTATTATTAATCACACGGGCATATATTACTTTTTCATTCATACGTCAAGTGTTATATGGTTGAATAAAATTAAAAAAGAGAAACGTTTGTCTGAAGATTAAAAGTTAGTCAAGATGAATCAATCGAAAAAGAAATGTAAATACCTCTTGAAGGAAAAAACAAGTTCAATCTGCTTGTCCCAACTTTTGTTTTTCAGGGACCAGTTTTCTCGAAGTAGTATGCATGATATGCTTAATAAAATAATGATTAAAGAAATACAGAATTGGTTTTGTTGATGCATTTACGTGTTATTTATTGACGTACATGAATACTCATCAGAGCTCTGCATACTACAGCAGTGATATTAGGATTGCAAGAGTAGAGCCAGGATTTTAATGAGAGATAATAGTTCTCGAAAGATGCCTTCCGAGATAAGATAATGTAAAATCTTTTTTATAACGAGGAAGCTACTCTATCTGATTCCTTGCTTGTGAGTTTTTATTTTTCTCATAAATAGAACTCGTTGAGACTAAGAAAACCTTCAAGTCGTTTGGAGTGTGGGCATGGGTTCGGTTATGGATATGAGAAAAGAAAATACACAGTCACACCCACGGCCACCTTTTAAATATAACTTCATCAACTACTTGACATTGATTTGAATAATATAAGAAATCATGTTGACAATCAAAAAAATAAAAATACACTTCTTGATGCATAAGTTGATATCATTGGTAAAATATTTTCATATAAAATAATAAAATTTTTCTTTTCTTTTTATATTCTATTGTATAATTATTTATCCATTGACAAGAAGAATTGATTCATTTAAGTAAATAATGTATTGGCCATTGACATGGTAAAAATGAACTGTGATCAACAAACCTTAAAATCAAAAACTAGCTAACAACTAATTTAATGTAATAAAATCGACTTATACATTCAATTTCGAAAAAAAAACTACCTAGTTAACATCTCTACAAAATACATACTTAGCAAAAGTCGAAGCAGTTGCTTGACGAACACGTATATTAGGGTAATGTTGTTTTAATTATTATTCCATATAAGTTAATATTCGAAAATCAATATCATTTATAAGTTGAGCTAGAGCAACCTATTTTATACACACACACAAAAAAAGAAATTATTATGATCATAAATTTCTTTTATCTATTTTACCAAGAATATAGGAACTTATACTATATTGAATAGAATCTTCTAATAATTCAATTCCTATGATTGTAAATACATGAATATTAATTAATAAAAAAGTTAATAATGTTCGTAAAGCATTTAATGAAACATATATAACACGTACATTATTATCATCAAGACATAATCGAAATGTAGAAAGTAATTCAGCTAATATATCTAATTGAATATCTTTAAAAACAGAAACAAAAAAAAATTTTTATCAAAAAAAAGAGACGATTAATATTCTAATATAACCTTGAACTGTCTTGTGAATCAGTTGATACAAGTGAACATTGATTAATAAAAGAATTATTAAATGAATCTGATAATGATGATAGTGTTAAAAGATGAATTGTTGTTTGAATTAATGTAACAAGTAAATTTGTACATGCATCACGTAAATGTAGATCACCGTGTTCACATAAAGATAAAAGATATGTTATATTTTAAAGAAAAGAAAAAAAAGACACGTCGATGTTCGCTAGATTTCAATGTATTACAAGTCATATAGAGATGGGAATTTCATTTTTCTGATTAGAAAATTCTATTTCAATTACAAAATTATATCTAATCAGAAATCTTCAAAGACTATAGAAAAACTCCTTGGGGGATACATAATGGGAAAACGAACATCTTTTTCATACTAACTATGTACAGAACTCGAACTTCAGCTTAGAACTCTTTTTGAAGTAGTTGTATGATTGTATAATTTCAATCTTTGATGTTTAAATGCAGACTCTGGGCTTCAATAAAGTGTTCTACTTGATATCTCTTCGAGTCTGATAATGTTATAGTCTTTTGTTGGTTTCAAAAAATTAAAAGTAGGAATAGGACTAGAGCTGCTGAATCAATATTGAGAAATCTTCATTCTTGAATTTTCAAATTCCAGTATATATGTTACATATAGTTTTGTCTCAGCAATTTAATAGTGAAATTGTTATATCTATCAGATAGCTTTCACTAGAACTTTGAGACCTTAATCAATTGAAGCGACATCAACTAAACTCTACCACAAGCTCGGTCACCAGACTGATCCCATTCACCTAAGCCCTCCTACTGTTACAACATTAGAAATCATTTTGGATTATAAAATAAATCTACTTTACTGGATCAAATTGTTGATAAATACAATAGACATGTTGGTATAGCACATTTAACACTAATACGTGATTTATCATCACGTTTTTATCGTGCCATCCATATTGAGTATATATCTAATCGAAAAAAAAAATTGATTAACAAGTTTAGTAGCTGATGTTCGTTTTTCATTATTAATTATTGATGTTGAATCGAATTTATCATTCATTTTATTTACTAAAATATCTTTCTATTCATTAATTTCAATAAATCAACGTTGATATGTTGAATAAGCTATTGTTTTAGAAAAAAACACAAATAAAAAACTCTTGTTTTTTTTCTCAATATTTACCTGTTTGTAATGTTTGATTAACACAAGTTTCTTCTAAACATCCAATTTGAGTTAAATTTAATAATTGATCAAAATCAAATAAATTTGAATAATCAAGTAGTTGAATAAGGTTTTCTATTGAACCAAGATAATCAATTATCAAACGTGTACTAACATTTTGATATTGATGTTCAAGTAGTTGATCTATTAAAATAAAAGAAATTATAATGAATCGAAACTATTATTTGAAAAGAAAACTTACCAACTGCATTTGTCATTAGAAAACGTGCTATAACAGTAGGATAATGAGAATAACGAGTTATAATAACAAGAGAAGCAATTGATGAGCGAAGAATATGTGCAGATTCATGTGACACATTTGCCAAATAGGCCATAAGATGTTCCTAAGAATGGTTTAGTTCGACTTCATACTTCAACTATAACGATAACCAATGAACTACTATAACTAAATTATTTAATTTCTCATTGGAATTTAATAATAAATAAAATTTTATTCTTCTTAAGGGGAGGGGGGGGGGTACCCCTAACATACCCTCAAATTTCGTCAGTTTGTAG